CTGGAGGCTCTCCGCTCCCCTCCCCGCGCCCCACGCTGAGGCCCAGTTAACTCTTACTCACCCTCCGCCTCTCAGTTCCACTCCCCACTCCCCGGGGAGAGCCACATCCTCAGCCCCTGGCCCTCAGACAGGGCTGCTACGGAACTGGCAGGGCCAAATGCAAAATCTGAATGCAGGACCCCTTGTTCAAAGACTGTTAGGAACTTCAGGAAGGCAAAAGCAACTCGTTAAAGCCGGGACAGTGCCCTTGTGAGCGCAGAGCCCGAGGGTCACTGTGCAGGTGGCCAAGGTCATGCACCCAGGAAGTCAGCGCCGCTCTCAGGACCTCCTGCGTCCACCCTTCAGCCCTTCCTTACGACTGTCCTCACACAACGACTTAAAGCTCGTGTATTCCCACAAGTCTAGGGACGACCCAAGAGCAGGGCCGGTGTAGGTTTTATATATACAACTCTGTCTTCCCAGCTCCCAGCACAGCTCCTGGCACAGAGTTCAGGAAGTATTCTAGAATGAATGAACGGAAAGGGGCGGAGAAGACAGAGCGGGAGAAGGAGGGAAGGGTGCATGGGAAGACTGGATGACACAGAGAAGGACAGAAGAGAGGAGAAGGTGAGGGAAGGGGGCAATGGCCGAGGAGGAGGAAGAGGCTGGGGAGCAGGCAGCGGGGGCCCGGGGAGGGGAGGCCGGCGGTACTCACAGCTGGTCGAGGGGCTGTCGGTGCCATCCAGTTCTGCCCTGGGGAAGTTGTGCCCGGAACGGGCTGTGAGCAGGGTTGACTCGATGGCCCTCTCGTGGGCAGTGAGCATGATGGTGGGGGCCCGGCCCCCAGCCCCGGGGCCCGACAGGGACTGCTGCATGAAGGCCAGCTTGTCCTTGGTCCTTCGTTTCATGTCATCCCATCTGTGCTTAATGTCCTTGACGGAGCGGGGGACCTGGCTGACGGAGGTGATTTTCCGAGCTATGCCTTCCCAAATCTTGTCCCTGTCGGCATGGGACAGCCGCATGGTCTCCCTCCCAAAGAGAACCGCTTCGTGGTGGGTCACCTCCGTGACCAGAATGTCCAGTTCCTCCTTGGAGAACTTGGGTTTCCTCTTGCGCTCGGCCAGGGGCGCCACATTCCTTGGGTTGAATATCCCACAAAGCACAATTGGGTAAATGACCGTCAGGGCGGGTGGTCCTCCTCCTTCCTAATTGCCGGCCCCCAGCTGCGGAGCCAGGAGGCACCTGGGCACCCTCGCCCGCTCACCACCACCACACCCTCCTCCTAGCGAGAGGCCCCTTCCCCTACTCCTCGGAGGGCAGGAGGGCGGGAGGGGTGCGGCGTAGTGGGTGGGAGCGCGGCCCGAGTCAGACGCCTTCGGTGGCAGGCCCTGCCTTAGCCCTGGCTAGCTGGGAGAGCCCGGGCTGTGCACTCAGCCTTTTCCAGAACCCTCTCCCCGGCCGGGTCAGGAGAAGCAAGCACACGGACCTGGGGGTCGTTACGAGGGAGGGGAAAGCAGTGATGTCCGAGAGCTTTAAAGCCCTCCGCAGGAACAAAGGGTCCTCACTGGGGTTGGGAGCAGGCCATTGCCTCACAGATGGCTCACAGGAAGAATATTTAAACAGGGCGACTATTTACAGCGGGCTTCCCGGCGTGTGGCCTCGCTGGTGACGCCCGTGATTAGGGTGTGGTCACAGAAAGCTCTCTTTGTCTCCCTCCCTGGCTCCCAAGTGCCCCCCAGGCCCCCACCTCTGGGTGTGTGGAGGCTCCCCTCCGACTCCAGTCCTGGCTAGCAGCAGCTCTTCTGGGGTCGGCCGCTGTGGCCTTTTGGCCGCTCGGGGGTAGGACGTGAGCAGTCCCTGAGCACCCACCGGGAGACAAGTTCCACGCTGACGGAGGCCAGGAGTGACCTTGGCTTCCATCTGCAGAGTAGCCAGGGGCTGCTTGACTGACTGAGACCTTGAGCAAGAACCACCCAAGAGAGGAACCCAAAGGGGAAACCCGGAGCCCGAGTCACTCCTCCGGCTGCTCCCCTAACCTCGGCAAGAGGCTAGGGGGCACAAAGATCCTTCAGCCCTCACCTCCCCACCCCACCTACCCAGAGCACCGTGGCTCAGGGTCAAGGAAGGCTGGGGCTTTGTTACCAAGCCAAGACAGCGCCAGGGGCCCGGGCCCCGCACTCAGAGCGACCTGGAGCTAGACGCCGAGTCTCCTGAGCAAACCCGCCTCCCCCTCTATAAAATGAGGGTGCTAATTCTAGAGTCACCTTCCAGGGCCGCCAGGAGGAATTCCTGAGGGGTTTTTCAGTCTCACCACTATTGGCATTTGGGGCTAGAAACTTCTTTGTGAGTGGGAAGGGGCGTCCCGGGCCATATACGACGTTTCTCAGCATCCTTGGCATTTACTCGCAGACCTGTGACCACCCAACATGGTGAGTGGCAAAACAGCCCCTGGTTTCAGACCACCGATCTCATGAATGCAGAGCCCCTAGCATAGGGATGCCGTAAAGTCAACACTCATTACGTTGATGCCCGTTCTCTTCCCGGCCCACCACTTAATTTTTTGAAAAAACTCACCAACTCCATCCAATCCCGCACAAGACCCTAAGTTGTCACAGTACAAGAGCGGATGTCTGCACACAGGAATGAGCAATCGCAAAAGGAAGCTATACATTAAGGGGGAAGGCAGGTTCCCAGCACGAACTGGCTTTCCCCTCCAACTACCACCAGAGGGACATCTCCGTGGCAACAAACCACACCCCCAACCCCCACCTACTCCTTGAGTGTTGAATGAGAGGGGCCCCAGCAGCTGTGACTGCCCTGGGGCCATCTTGCATCAGAAGGGGCTGGCAGACAGGACAGGATGGGCCGAGGACAGACCCCAGGCCAGCAAGGCAGCAGAAGCAGAACCCACCCCACCCACAGCCCAGGAGGCCATGCTTTCGCCTGGGCCCTTGTGCACAAGCAGAAAGAACATGGGCCCAGAGGTCAGAGACAGGTTCCAGTCCTGGTTCCGCCCCTGACGGCATGATCTAGCGTAAGATCTTGCCCTGCTCTGGGCCTCGGTGTCACCGCTGTAGCAGGAAGGGCCGAACAGAGGAGGGGCTCTCAAGAGCAGCACGTCAGACTCGCTATGGAGAGCTTTAGAAATACCAATACCGTGGGCTCACCCTCGGCCCGATGCAGTCAGAATCTCTGGGGCGTCGGATGATCGCTAAGTTAGCTCAGATGATGTCTTTCCCGAGGGTTGTGGTAAAGCCTCTTCCCCAGGGTGAAAGATGAGAGATGGGTGGCATCGAGGCACAGAATCCGCTCGGCCTGCAAAGCTTCTGGAGCCTCGGAAGCAATGGTGCAGAAAGGCCCTGAAGCCAGACTGCACTCAGACACACTCTCCTCTGCTTGCCTAGAGCCAGGCGGGAGCCACAGGGAACAGAAGCCCAGGCCGGTGCTCCGGTCCCCACTTCTGTGGCCCTGGTCACAGTGCCCTCAAATGCAATCCTGGCCCCTGGCAGGGCCCAGCTCAAAGGCCCCCTGCTCTGTCATCTGGGCCCGTGCAGCACATTCTCTGTGCCTTCATTCGCCAACTGCAGCTGAAAAAAACCAATTTCCACGGTGGAAGGTGGGAGTCCTGGGAGGACCGGGAGGGCCAGACCATCGAGGGCGCCCCGTTACACGGTCGGCTCTGCAAGTGGGTGGGGACTTACAAGGGCCGAGCTGACACTGGCACCGGGTGGTCGGGCTGAAGGCGGTTAGGACTGTGTCCGTGGCCTTCTCGGAGGCCCCTGCAGGGCACCAGCGCACCAGAGGATGTGAAAGGGGGCTAGAGGGAGGGGTCCACCTGTCCCTGGGCACCTCTGCTTCTGCTCCTGTTAAGTGGCAGTGAGAAGAGCCGCCCCGACAAATAAGAGGACAAATCCCAGCATGCTCTGGAGAGTGTAAGCCGAAGCCCCTCTCGCCCTCCCAGCCCCCCATCCGCAGCTCTCAGGTGGGGAGCACAGGTGGGCAGGAAGGCCCCGGGGAAGGGAACAGCAGACCTCACCATAGCCTCCCCACCTCCAACCAACTTCTCCTCGTTTGCTTGGAAGGTGGCAGAGTTGAAATACAGCAAACGCCCTCTTAGAAAGTTCCTGACTGCCCTCCCTCCGAGCACAACCTCTCCAGCATCCCCCCACCACCACGGGTCACAGAACCGCACAAACGCCCACAGAGGGCCCCATCCGAGGCTCTCCTGCCCCTCCCAGCCCAGATCCACACGCCGTCACCCCTTCTGGGGCCCAGAGAGGGGCACCAAGGACGTGCCAGTGCAAGCCTGAACTCCCACACAGCACACAGACCCCTCTGGGCAGGGCCCTGGCACCCCTGCCCGGGCCAGCAGCACAGACCCAAAAGGAGAGCTGTGGGCTGAGTGCTCAGGTCCAGGCTCAGTCCAGCCACTCCTGGGCAGCCCTGGGCCAGTCTCCTGCTCTCTCTGGCTGGCCAGGAAGGATCCTCCTGGTGCAAACTTCTGTCCCAAACATGGCACGACAGTAAAACCCCTCTTGAAAGTACTCATGCCCGGGCAGCAAGTACCATCGAAAACTGAGCTAGGGACTGTGCCAGAAGCCTCCTTTTCCACGGGGCCACTTCAACAAGTGCTGGCAGCTGCACTGGGATGAGTCCTGCACCCCTCCGGCAGGAGCTGGCCCCGTGAGAGAGGTCAGAGCCCCAGGTGGAGGGACGCCCCCTCCGTGGGGGCAATGCTGCCCAGAGCGGGGGGCCCTGGGCACTCCAGAAACAGAGACAAATGTGCAGACGTTAGGGGTCCCTCTGTAACCCACAGGCCTCCTCCAGAGCCCCCCGATGGAAGGCTGGGGAAGCAAGAGGGTCCCCCAGAGCTCCACACATCCCAAGCCCTGCAAACAGCAGTCCCGGGGCCTTCGGGGGCCTCCACCACTGGAGACCTCACAGGCCCCAGCACACTCCCTTGGCTTCCTTTCCGGAGTTTGGGCAAGGCTCCCAGGAAATCAGCAGAAAGCAGGACTCACCTCATCCAGTTGGCTTTAGTCTCATCTGACCCATCTATGGACTTGTAGCGGTTATTCTTGTCCACAATCTGGAAGACAGAGAGAGAGTCTAGAAGGCGCCACCCTCGAGAGGCTCTTGTGTCCCTGCACTCCTCCCCAAGCCAGGGCCTCCCTCCCTTCGGCTTGCCCTCCTGCTACGATGCAGGACTGAAAACCGAGCTGGGGCCTGGAATCCCATCTCCTTCTCCTGTCCTAACAGAAGACCGGCAACATGGTGGACGAGCCGCACTTCCAGGAGCCCCATACCGCAAACCTGGAAGTTAGATCCAGCCCTTCTTCTCTCCCTCTAGCTTCTGTGAGAAATAGAGGCCAGCGCTGGATGACCAAGCACACGTGAGAGGGGCTTCCTCCTCTCCCCAACCTTGAACTGGTCAAGCGCCGCAGGGCTGGGCTGCGCCCTTCTCTTCTGTAAAATGTCCTGATTTCCTCATCACTCTTGAATCAGGGTTCAGCTGGGTATGGAGTTTGAGGCAGACTGTTTAATTTTCTTTCAGCCCCTGGAAGATTGCCCAAAAGGCTGCCATAGGCTGTTCGGGAAGCTACTGTTACTCTTTTGTGGATAGGCTGTCGAGGGTAAAATTTAAGACTTTCCCTTCATTTTTGATTTAATGCAATTTCCCTCTGTGGTTTTGAAGTGGAGTATTTACTTCCTTAAAATTCTCATTACTCGACGAGCATATTACTTGGTGAAGACATATCTCTTCTTCCATTCTGGGAAATTCTGAGAAACTCCTAAGTTTTTGAGTACAGCTTCTCAGTCATTTTCTCCAGTCTCTTCGTGTAGAACTTCTATTAAACATATTTGGGACTATCCCCCATGTCTTTTAACTACCTTTTTCTATTTTTCTCTCTCTTTTTCTGGGCAGTGCTCTGAGAATATTCCTCAGAACTCTCTTCTGGTTCACTAATTCTCTCTTTAACTGTGTCCGGTCGAGAATTTATCCACGTATTAACGTTCTTCCTTTGTTTTTAAATAAGCAATTTTAATGCAATGAGTATTTTTCATTCCCACAATCTTCATATCCATCTTTTCTTCATTCCACCTCGCTGTTTCACAAAGTCACGTTCCTTCTGTTTCCCTTTCCCAGCAGCATTACTGAACTATAACTGACATATAATGTACGATTTGATAAACTTTGACAACTGTACATACCCATCACCACAATCAAGAAAACAAACATATCCATTCCCCCCCAAGTTTCCTTGTGCCCCAGAATCTCCCCCTCCTGCCTCTCTCCATCCCTCCCATCCCCAGTCCACAGGCAACCAGTGAGCTTCTCCTTGTAACCATAAATTGCTTTGCATTTTCTAGGATTTCATGTAAATGAAATCAAATAGAAGCCATGCTCTCAGCACAATTATCTTGAGATTTGTCCCTATTGATGTGTGTATCAGACTTCATTCCTTTGTAGTGGGAAGCAGTATTCCATTGTTTGGATGTGCCACAATTTGCTTTTTTACCTACTTCTTAATGGATATTTGGGTTCTGTCTAGTTTTTAACTAGTACAAGTAAATCTGCTAAGAGAATCCAGTTATAAGACATTCTGTAGACACACACATCTCCTGTGGGCAGATACCTTGCAGTGGAATGGCTGGGTCACATGGTAAGTATATGTGTAGCTTTTAAGAAACTGCTAGACTGTTTTTCCGAAGCGGTTGCAACATTTTACATTCCCATACAACAGCACCAGCTGGTCCACATCCTTGCCAATGCTTGGTATGGACAGTCTTTTTCATTTAGCCATTCTGATAGGCATGAAGCAGTATCTCATTGTGGCTTTAATTTTATTTCTCTGATGACTAATGATGTTGAGTGTCTTTTCGTGCAGTTACTTGTCAGCTGCATATCTTCTCTGGCGAAGAGTCTAGTCGAATCTTTGCTCATTTTTAAAATTGGTTGTTTTTTCCTTATTATTGAGTTTTGAGAGTTTTTTAAAAATATTACTTTGGATCCAGTCCACCATCAGACATATGATTTACGAATGCTTTCTCCTAATCTAAGGCTTGTTTATTCATTCTCTTAATGATATCTAAGAGCAGAGGTTTTAAATTCAAACAAAAATCCACTGTTTTGTTCTTTTTAATGCGTGTTATCCTTCTTTTATTTCTTCAAGGATCCTAAGGCTGAGACTGCTAATTATCCCTCATTATCTACTATCTCCTTTGTCCATGGTAGCAGAACTCCTGGATTATAACTGGGCACCTGGCTACCTGTAAGAACAGAATACATTTTGGGGTGCCTGGCTGGCTCAGTCAGGGGAGCATACAACTCTTGATTTTGGGGTCATGGGTTAGAGGCCCGTGTTGGGTGTAGAGATTACTAAATAAATAAATAAATAAATAAATAAATAAACTTAAAAAAAAAACCCAGAATACATTTCTTGGTTTCTCTGTTAGCTATGTTCTGGCCAATAGGATGTAGGTGGAAGTGTCATGTGTCAGTCTCCTGAAAACTTCTTCGAAAGACAGCTGATAGATGCCTTTCCACCATGCTACTGGAATGCAGATGTAATGGCTGGAGTTCTAGCAACCAACTTAAACTATGAGGATAATCCAAGCACTGAGATAGTGATGAGCTGGGGTCGAGCTTGGTTCCCTGAGGGCTTAGTGGGACAGAGCCACAACACCAGGCCTAGAATGTATTAATAAAAGAAAATTTAACTCCCATTTAGCTTGAGCCACTGTTATTTAGAATCTCAGTTACTCACAGTCAAACCTATTCCTGATATGGATCCCAAACAGTTATTTTAAATTCATTTTCAGAATATAATTTTCATTTTAGAGTGAATTCGCTTGTCATTGATATTCAGAGGCTGTCTTTTTAACATTGTCTTCATTAGTTTTAGCGATTTGGTCTTGGGGTGGGGGCTTGTCTTTTTTTTTTGACTAGCACTGTAATGTTTGGGGGAAAAAAGGGTGAGGATTGGTCAAAGCATGAACTCTCAACGCATCTGGACTAGAAGCCCCTTTGCCCCCTCCACACACACCTTCTTTACCCATATTCTTTCTCTGGATATTCACATCTACCTCCAGACTCTCAACTTGTTCATTACTCACAATCTTCACCTCAAGCCCCAGCTGATAATATCTGACTTCCCATGTGACTTCCCTTCCTGGCTGTCTCAGGGGCACCTCAAACTTACCTCCCACAACTTACGCCCCCAGGCCCCACCCCCACACCTCTTCCTCTCCTACTGTCCTCATTACAGTATCTGAAATCACTATCTACTCAGGTTTCAAAAAGAAAGCCATTCCTACTACCAAAAACCAAAGAATGGCATGCTTCATATGGGTGAACTGTATGGTACGTAAATTATATCTTGAAAAAGCTGTTAAAAACAAAAACAAAAAGAAAGTTACCCTTCATCCCTTGCTCTCTCAACGCCCCCCATCCCATCCAATCTCTCAGCAAGTCCTGCCATCAGATGTCAAAACTGTCCCTCTGGTTCCACTGCGTCCTGCTTCCATGTTGGTCTGAGCCATTAGGTCTCTTCCGGACAACTACAGGAGACTCTAACTCCCTCCCCTGATGGTGCTCTGGACTCTCCACATTCTTCTCCAAGCAGCGACTGTCATCTTTATGGATGTAAAGCACCTCACGTCACTCATCCAGGATCACCTGCAGCACTTACAATAAGATCTGCCCCCGTGGTCACAGCCTCCAAGGCCCGTGCCTGCGTCCCTCCCTGACGTGGGCCTCCCTCTTCCCCTTCACGGGCTGCGGCCACAGCACCTGACAGTGAGGCTTTACACGGGATGGTTCACTGCCTACGACCTCTTTGCCCCACTCTTAAAAAATTAACAATCAGGAAATTTTTCACACATCCAGAAATTATAAAGAATAATGTGGCCGCCAACAAAAGTGACCTCCAGCCGTATCCGCCCCCCACCTCGCTCGCTTCAAGAAAACACCTCAACATAGTTGAAGACCGTCTCTGCCTCCAACTTCACCCTCTCTCTCCAAGGTTAACCACCATCATGAAGCTGGTGGGGAGCCTTTCCATTTTTACTACACAAGGAGTTTTCTAGAAACAATGTACAGAATGGTTTTGTAGGTTTGTACAATTCACAGATACCCCAGTGAACATATCCTTTTGTACCTTTTTCCCACTGACTTTTGCATGACTGGTCCCTTCTTATCTTTTGGGTCTCAGTTTCTGTCACCTCCTCCTCCGAAGAAGCTTTTCCTGACCTGAACCTAAAGTAGGCTCTCCCTTGCCACTTCCTGACCTCTGCGTGCCGGCCCCCCACAGCATTATCTCTATGACATCACCTGTCACTTCCTTTTAGAGACCTAATTGCATGGTGCAGTTTTGACATTGATGGTGTTCATTTGTCAGCTTGGCCATTGACTGTCTCCCTCACTGGACCATAAGCTAGTGAAGGCAAAGCACCCGTTCATGATGGTGGCCTGGCCCCGGATCCTCCATACAGCACATGGCACAGGATAGAATCCTGGCTGAACGAATGAATGGTTGGCTGAAGAGCCTTTTAAGGAAAAAGTGAATCAAAGAAAAAAAAATGATCTAATGTTAATATTTTAGGAAAAAGGAAATGAGTGGTGTGCTGAAGCTGGCTTGCACTGGCTAATGAGCGCGGACTCTGAAATCTTCCAGAATTTCATGAACCAATTGTTAAACAGCTGTTATTAGAAATTTAATTACATAAACTTACAATTCAAGAAATGGTATTTTGAAGGTAATAAATACTCAACGCTTACCACTTCCTAATTACCTTCTATTTTACTATCATCGGTGTTCTTGAGGGAAATGGCCATCTATTGTGTCTGCACAGTAGAAATGCTATGGAATAGTTGCTAGGGCCTGTCTCTTCCCACCACCCGGTTCAGTGACTTCACGCCGGAACCTTGAAATCGGCCACAGTGGGAACATATACACCATGGAAATCGGCTCGCGTCGCCCACCCCCAACCATCACCACGGTGACTAGCGTGTGTTTGTATGTGCACAGAAAGTCTGGGAAACACAATTTGAGCTCTCAACCCTGGTTACCTCTAGAGGAAAACGAA